CCTCAGCCTCCCAAAGGCGCGGGATTACAGGCTGAGCCACCGAGCCCGGCTGGTTTTATTCTTTTATGACAGAAAACCAAAGCCAGACCTGATTGTTCTGTGGATGTGTGGAATGTCCTTCCAGCCACCTACATCCTCCCTCCAGGTGAGATGTGCCTGAGTCCTCAGCCGCTCCCTTGCAGGATGTGAGCTGGAGTTCCTCACCACGTGGTCACCATCCTCAGAAGGTGTTTCCTTTTGCCAGAATCTTTGAAACTGTCACCCAGACCAGCATTCTAAGGGCAGCACTATGTATATGGGAGCGCAGCTGGGGGTGGGGGGGTGATTTTCTTGAAGGCTCTGAGCATGTAGTCAATCTACTTTTGTCATCCAAGGTCTCCCTTTCCTGAGCACAGGCTTGGAGGAAATTTTGTCATCGTGACGAAAAACAACCTGGAAGGAGGATGCGTCTGGATATAGAGGCCTTGAAGGCTGAGGCTGTGGCACAGGGCTATCCACGAGCTCCCTGGGCTGACTCCCCAGGAATCTCACTTTCTTGAAATGCGATGGATGGGCTACACAGGTTGAGAGCCTGGCCGTCTCATGTCTCTCTGGCTCCGTGGAAGGGGAAGCCACTGCACGGCAGGGCAGCTGGGCTTGTCCCACCTTCTCTGTATCCCCAACCACCGCCTGGCAATGGTTCCACATCTCAGCCCCAAAGCAGGACCTCTGGGCTTCTCCCCTCCTGCCCCTGGATGGCACCTGGAGCCACACGTTGGACCCAACCCACTTCTGCTCACTCATGCTCTTAGAGAGAGAGTATGTGTATGTCCATTTCCTCCAAAGTACACAAGTGCAACATTTGTCCTAGGAAATGAAGAACAACGCAGGAATCCAGCAGGAGTGCATCTGAGCTGGGGGTGGGGCGCAGCCAGGCTCCAGGAGCCAGTGCTCTGGTTGCCTGGAGACCGGGGCATCCTGCCCCCGCCGGATTATCTTTCTGCTGAGCCTGCCGTGTTATTTATCACCTGCCAAGACGGATGACTCACCCGGGACAATGACAGCCCTTCCTCTCCCCTGTTAATTACTGTCATCATTAATATCTGTGGCACTAATTAGTATTCCTGCACAGGAGATGCCTGCCTGCCAGTGTGGCCACCCTGCCCACATGCCCGTTGTCTGGCCCTGGGCTCCTGCTTGGTCTGTGACTCAATTGTTCCATCCTGACCATCAGGCCCTGGGGGCATTCATGGAGCCCAAGGAGCCCACTGAGGCACTTTTGTTTCTGCAGAGGGAAGATCCCCAAAGCCACTATCATTCCTCCAGTCTGCGGGGGCTGCAGCGCCTGTTTCCTCTCCTTGGCTCAGCCACATGCACCGCGGGCTCATCTGGGGCTGATGTGGCATCCTCAGCCTTGGATGTCCGGGGTTACTGTGCCCAGTCTGCAGCACCATCACCCTCCATCATCCCTTCCGTGTCATGGTAGTGTGTGGTGGACATCAGCCAATGGCCCATACCTGCTCTCATGGGGCCTCATTGGACCATCTGGGAGAAGCAGACCCCCATGTGTTCAGTGCCGGAGCAAGTGAGGAAGGGGAGGCTGGCGTCACATCACATCTGGAGGAGATTCTGGTCACGACATCATGGAGTCAGACAGGACAGTCCACACAACAGCTGGAGGAAGTGCCTTCATTTCTCCTTTCCACCCTCCTCTCTTCCCTCTGTCCTCCCTCCTGCCCAGTCACTCTTTCCCTCCTGTTCTAAAAATAATTTGAAGCTGCTTCTCTTCTGTTCCATTTGAAGTTAATGGCTGCCCTGTTAACACCATCCAATTCTGGGACTTGTCTCAGTCAAGCTGCTTTGCCAGTATATAGGACAGCATGACAACATTACAGCATAACACATATGATGCCTCAATATGCAAGTGTGTGATAGCCACCTCCTATGCCCCAGGGTCCCTAAACACATGTCTGAAAGTTTTCTTTCTGAGGCTAATTTATCAACATATATTCTGGGTACACTCATGAAACACACAGAGCACCAAAACACTCCTCCACTACGTGTGTGTGTGTGTGCATGTGTTATTAACATGTTTAAATATGCATTTAGGACATGCGGTTTCTATGTGTTATTTTTCTATGTGTGCTGTATGTATTTCAGTGATGTCTTTCATATATAAAATCATGTTTATTTCATGGCTGTTTGGAAACAAAGCAAAAATCCTCTAACAGGGATCAAACACCGTAAATTATGATTCATTCATGCAATAAATATTGTCAAACACATAGCATTTGAGGTGGAAAGGCATGTGAAAAAGGCGTGTGCTGTGACATATTCACATAAAGATGCTGGTAATCATCCGTGTCTGGGTGTCTGCAGACATGAAGAAGCATCTGGAATACAGTTATGTTGCCAACGTTAGGTCATCGTGGTCAGGGGAGGCATCCAATTATGGGATATTAGTATTATTTCATTTCTGTATCATTTGAAGCCGTAGAACATTCTTGTGATACTTGTGCACTAGGAAACATACTTTTTATCTTAAAAGGCAGAGAGGCAAGAATTTGCTTTGAGGCCCCAGAGGAGACGGTGGGGTGGGCTGAATGCCTCCACCAGCCTCTGCCCTGGGCACTTCCCGTCCTCTGGGGAAAGGGCGGAAGATGTGAAGGCTGGGGTCCCAAAGCTGCCTTTTCCTAGGGGGCAAGCCAGAGGCTCGACCTTGGGCCTTCAACTGACCACTCTCTCTGGTCCTTGGCCACCTTGGAGCCTCTGTGAGACCCTTTCAGCGTCCGAGGGGCTTTCCCCACAGTCCCGGATCTAGACCTGAAGATGACGCGGCACCGCCCAGGTCTGACAAGTGAAGCACCTCGCAGCTAATCCAGGCCTCATGCTGGGGAAAGGCACTTTCTTTCAAGTAAAACGTTTCTGGAGCAATGAGCACGCTCACCATTCCCCTCAGTCTCGCAGTCTCGGCTACACCTCTAGGCAGGAGCTCCATGCCTCATCTCACAGACCACACACAGGCTGATGTTCAGGAGGGGAGAGACATTTCCTGAGTGCCAGAGCTGGGTGCTTGACTGTGTCACATCTCATCTTGACAGTGACTGTGTAAACATGAGAGTTATTATACCCACTTTAAAGATCAGGCCCAGGGAGACTCAAGGCCACATGCCAGGGCCGGGGTTGGATCCAGGCAATCTCGTGCCAAATATTATTTCCACAACAGCCTTCTGCCTCTTTTGACTCTGAATCACTTTCCAAGTGGTAGACAGGAGAGATCACTGGAAAATGGATATAGTTTTTTTTCCCCCTGAAGCAGGTGCATTAATTTAATGATAATAATTGCTACATTTTTAGCCATTGAACCATTTCACTGGACACTTTCTATATTCCAGAACTTGGAATAATCCTATGATACGAATCCAGTGATATAAGTAATATTATCTCCATTTTGCAGATGATGGGAAGGGTATTGTAAGTAGGGCAATCTTTACAGTTTTAGACCTTTCTTTTATGCCTTATTTTGGGAAA